TGCTCTTTGAGTATTCAATTTTAATTTACTTCTGAGAAAACACAGTTTTATCAACTGAATCTGTAGCCCTTTGTCTGAAAGTTTTCAATTGTGCATTCTTAGTTGTAGACTTGTTTGTTTTAATAAAGGACTATGATAAATACATTTGTTTTAGACAGAAAAATGTAACTTACATTTAGATAAATCTTGCTTCTTTAAATGTAGAAGTATGATGCTTGTCATTTCTGCCCTAAGCTGAAGGATTTCTCTATTTTTATTTACCTTTTTTTTGAAATTCTTCTTCATCTCATCTCTTAAAGATTTAAGAAACTAAGAATTTTTTTTTCTTTAACTTGAAACTTATTTGAACTTTCTTCTGTTTGTGTCTGCTATGTTGGTGGATGTGGTTCTCAGGGACCAAATGTGGGTAATTGGTGGCTCCTCATGTGAGGTGAGAGGGTCTTGCTGATGCGATCCCATTCTGCCCGCTCCTGCTCTGCCTTCAGGACAGTGGTGGTGTTTATATTGTGTCAGCTTTTATTAAGATGAATTATGATCATTTCCATACAGCTGGGTGGCGGTTGTGGGAGTTTACATTATCAAAGCAAAACTCAGACTTGCTTAGCCAATTTAGATGTCAATAAAACATTTGTTACTTATTTTCAGTTTTATCCCTGGTTGTAATTTATACTTAGAATTGAAAATGTTACCATGTATGACTGAGTTTGTTTTAATTAAGTGTATAATTAGGCTAATGAACCTTGTAAAAATGTAGTGGTGCAATCCTTAATATAATCTAAGCAGTTAAATTTCTAATTATACATCCAAAATCATGTACAAAGATGCAGCATTTCAATGGGTTGCTTTCTGTGACTATATTCTTCTTCTTTGTCCCTCCCCCGCTATTGGTAAGAAACATTGCTCAAAAGCCACAGGAAAGGGCTTAAAGAAATATGTGTAGATTTGCATATTTTTAGTGTAGGAAAATTATTCAGAAGTGAGAATTGTACATAGTGGATATAGTATTTTTTCCCAAAATTTTGAAAAAATATAGGAAACAGTAGAAATGGGGTAGGCTTGGGGATGTTTCAGATTTAGCAGAAAAAAAAATCTGTGTGCTCTAAAAGCCGTATGTGCCAAGTTGAGCTTACATTAGATTCACACAGGAGGTAAAGGAAGTTCTGTTTCTACGCCCCCAAACCCTCCAGACATATCTTCATAAATCTGCCCCTCCACATTAATAAGCGCACCACATCCTTTCTCCTATGTCTGCCAGCTCGTCTGGCTGTTCCTGGACTGTTCCTCATGTAGAGCTCACCTCACTGCCTCTTTCCCCTCTTCCTCTTCATAGTTTTTGCAAAGTCACTTCTTAAGGAAAATGGTTGCCTTGATGAGGAATTCTGGTACTAATTGCCTAAAAGAAAAACTAGTCTCTATCCTAGCACACGGACATGCCAAAATGTTTGGGACTTCATTATCTTCAGTTATGTGTCTAATAAGTGTTGTAGGGACCACAACACCATAGGCAGTCAGATCTTTATTACTCCAGAACAAATAAATACTAGTTGCTGGATGAATTTGCAAACTATATACCTAAAATTTATTTTTAATTATACTGTTTGAGAAGGCTTTAAATTGAACGTGGGAGGTATGAAAATCTATCTGCTTGCACTCACCTTTTTCAGGAAGATGAAAGTGTTACAACTTCCTGTTGATTTCCCTTCAGAGGATACTTTTCATTCTCAGCTGTTATGTTATCAGTTCAATTTTCTTGTGAAGTTTTTTTGATTGTTCATTCCCATTCCTTTTGTAATCATTTTCACCTAGTGAAGCAAATGAGATAATTTTGCAGATTGTACCACTTTACTTTTAAATTAATCCATTCTTTTTGAGAGAATGATTCTAATAGTGTGGTCAAGTACTTAGAAATCAGCAGGCTACTAACTTCTCCTTAATTCAGTCTGTTCCATTGATTCCCTGATCACTTGCTGTGTTACTCAGGGTGAAATTCTTCCTCCCCGCCCCCCACTCCCCCTCCAGCCCCCAATCAGTTCTCTAGTCCCTGGCACTGAGAAAAAGGACTCCAAGATTTTGTGTCTATTTGAATAACTTTGGATTCTGAAAGCCTCATTTAATAAACTTCTGTTTATGTTCCATGTAAATGTGATGGTGTGTTTTTGATTTGTAACATTTTTCACTGTGTATTAGGATTACTGATGAATTAGGCCATATATGAGGACTTATTCAGAAAGATGAGCCATTGAATAAATGAAGCATGCCATGCTTTTTTACTTCGGATTATTATTCTACAATGATTCCCCGGTGGGGGGAGTAGATTATAAAAGAAAAATGATTATCTAGATGAATATAAATCCATAGGCCTATTCATCTGAAAAATATTGATGGCACTTGTAGAATTAAATTACATATTTCCAAGTTGTGTTATTTTAAGCTGTGATAAACACCAAAAGGATCTATCTGGGGTAAATTTGTAAATTTAAACAAATTTTCAGTACTAGTTAAGTGCTAAGTAATTTTCATTAAACATAGTCTGTCTCTGTCTCCTCTCTCTCTCTCTCTCTCTATATATATATATGTATGTATATATATATCTCTCTAAAAGTATTCTGTGGGCTATTTTAGAATACATAAAATATTTCAGAATACATAAAAGCATAATCATTATTCATCACTTTAGATTGCAGGGATATTGTAACCTTACTGAGAAACTGCTCATGATGTCACCATTTTAAAACTAATTAACCTGGAGTAGTGTTGGGAAGGCCTACTTTTGCTGCACACAGAATGCGTGTACTCTGACAAAGCGCTCTCAGTCCGGGGGAGGTAGCTTTTAGCAACAGGTGTGGCACCACATGTCTGCTTGTGAGTGTCCGTGGGTGTTCCTTTAACGTGGTTCCCTGAACGTGGTTGCTTTGATGGTGAAGTGGCCAAATGCCTTCTAGTTCTCATACTGTCAATAACTGTGATTTAATTTGCCTTCTCAAATTATTTTGTCTGACTCCACAGAATCGTAGATGTATCTTAATAATTCGATTCCTCTCATGGAACACTTAATCCATTGCACGTAGAAACACACTTACCCAATAGGGAAGTGTAGGGAGACAGATCGTGGGCATGATGACTTTTTAACAGTAACTTAATTATGGGTGGCGTATTGTGTGGGATCGCTTTCTTCCAAATAGGACTCAGACTGTTAAGTTGCTCATGCAGCTGTGTCAGTGTACTTTGTTCTTACCTTTGAACTGAGAGGATTTTTATATTTGTTTAATTCCAATAGATGGTAGTGAGTTACCAAAAATTACCTACATAATACTGTTTTTATCAGTCACTAAGACTTTTAGACTCTTACACTTAATAGGTACTAATCCTCAAATGGTGTAATTACAAAAGGTGATTTAAATATTATCTCCCCTGATTATTTTTGCACGTTGGTGGACTTGACCTTAGTAAAACATGCTATACTGTACTTAATAATAAAAATTAAAATGAAGTTAAAGAATGTATTCATGAAAGAAGCAAGTTTAAGTTGCAAAATGACAAGTGAAAAAGGACTCTTTCAAATCCGTTTTTTTCAGTTCAGTCGTATATTTCGTGTAAATAACATCTTCATGAAAAAAAGGATCCGAATCTAAATTTCCTTTCACTCATATTCTGTTTTGCAGAAAGTTTGTTAGAAAGTTGAGACTTGTTTGCCTCAGCTAAACTCATTCAGTTTTCATTCGTCAAGACCTTGCTACTAGTTAGGTGCTCAGGCGCGCCTTGCCGAATGCCATCTTCTCTGTCTTCCAGGAGCTGACCATGCACTAGTAGAGAGGAGGTGTGTGTATAAGTAACAGTTACAGGGAAGCAAGATGAATGGTCACAGAACAAGTAACAGTTACTTTAAACGGTTATAAGCAAAAGCTGTCTATTTTACTAGAAAGCCTGTATAGGGCATGGCAAGTTGTATTCTGTTGGAAGCTTATATCTGTATCTGGGCTACTAGAAATATCGTCAACGTTTATTTGACAGGTTTCTAAATTTGAGTATCTATATGGGTAGTATCTCTTAATGTTAGGATTATGAAAGAAAACCTAAGCTTCAGACAGGCCCAAAATAAGTTCATAAAAATTTCTAACATGACCATCATATAGAATTTATGTTAGCCATTAAGTCAGTCACAGCACCAGAACTATGTAAAGATTCCTGCCTGTTGTGCTGTGGTCCCATAATGTTTGCTGCTTGTCCCAGAGTATCTAGAATGTTCTTTCTCTCAGTCAAGACATTAGTATCCCAGACCAAGTACGCTAATAATTTTTGCTTTTTTATCTCCTCATTGGTCTCTAAGCTTTTCTTTCAGCCTGCAGTTGGAGCACACATTGATGAGGTTTGAACTATTGACATTTGAACCTGTCACTGGCTTTCTCTTATTTGTCTTTAAATGGGAATAAATGGCAACAAATTTTTTTTACTTTTGGGAGACCTAACAAGTTTTGAAATTCAGAATATTAGGCACCATCAAATGCAGATGCCAAGAACGGAAACTTTCCTGTTTTTCTTCGCCAATGTACAGTACACTGAGGTTAACCTTTCCTGGTTACCTGCACTCTCACGGCGAGACAGGATTGCCATCAGCCATGTACCAGCTGGCTTAAGACCGAAAACTGCCAGAGCTATCCACAACTACATACTCGGCTATGCTCCACGCTGTGCTATCCACTGAACCATCGGGCGAGCTCTGTTTGAGGCAGTTCTAAGCAGAGAAGTACAGGGTTTGTTTCAGAAACATAATCTTGACACCCAGAAACAATTTATTACATTTATTGAAAGGCTCCATTTCTGCACTTCGTTTATACTGTTGTGCTTTTTGTGTTGGTGTTATTTTCAAATGTACTAATAACGATTTAATGCACTCCTTTATCAGGAAGTCTTTGTAAATATAATACCAGCATTAAAGCAGGAGGGCATTGTGCATGGTAGAAATATTACATGTGTAATGATTTGCGTTCTTAATGTTGCAGAACCCTGGGGTTATTAGTAAAACGATTGGAGAAAGGTGGTAAAGCTGAACAAGAAAACCTTTTTCATGAGAATGATTGCATTGTCAGGATTAATGATGGCGACCTTCGAAATAGAAGATTTGAACAGTAAGTGTGTGTCAGCTGCACTGCTGTTCTTTCATGCTTTCGGCTTGAGAGAGTGCAGCCCAGTGAAATGCTTCAAACAACACGTCTGTGTCTGTCTTTATACTAGAGAGGAGTATTTTCTGTCATTATCTAGCTTTTAAAAACTTAATCAAACTCCAGGTAATTACTACCATTAGACTATATTTCAAAATGCCCTCCGACTGACAGAGCGCTTCTTAAAATATTATGGGCCCAATTTAGACTTCACAGTTTTGCTACTGCCTCTCCTTTTGGACAGTTTGCCAGCATGCTAGGTTTTATTATACTTCAACTCACATTTCCAACTTTGTTTCATGTAATGACTCCCCATATAAATAAGCAGAGAAAGCTCCTTTGAACCACAGTGTGGTCCACTCAGATTTTCTTTGTCCTGATTCAAGTCCTTATTCAATTAGAAAGATAAAAGTTGTCCAGTGCCTATCAAACAAGGCAAGAGTGAGAAGAAATCAAAAGGACTTTGTGTAGGATCTGAGTTGGGAACCAGCATGAGGTGAAACAGTTTCTCAGGCTGGTCCTGGAATAGCACCAGGACCAAAACTCTTCGCATTTTGCGTCACTGAGGCCGCCTTGGTGTTCTTGGGAATTTTGCATACACAGACTTGAATTCATGTTGCTGATGATGGATAGTTGATTTCTATAGTTTTCTAAGTATATTTATTTCTTCAAAAACTCAAGTGGTCCCTTGTAATAAAATGTAATTTTTAAACATATTGGGTAATATTGTGGAGAGAAGATTGTATTTAACTTCCATCTCTATTGCAATTATAATACCCCTGTTGTGCTTAAAACTATTACTTAATAATTTGTGATTGAGAGCACAGTATCTTCTCTGTAGTTATAGATAATTTTGTCATTTTTATTAAGAGAAAGAGAAATTTATATTTGGAGAAACAGCAATGCTTCTATCGGAGCTTGCAAACTTTGATTGATAAATGGGATATTTTAAAATTTTGTTTTTCAGTTTCACAAAAGTCTGTCAGTTCTTGTTGCTTAATTAGTATACTTAATTAAGCTCATAGTATCTTCTAGTCTGCCGGTCTTAATTTGCTAATTTTCCATTCTTTCTCAAACCCAGAGCACAACATATGTTTCGCCAAGCCATGCGTACACCCATCATTTGGTTCCATGTGGTTCCTGCAGCCAATAAAGAGCAGTATGAACAACTATCCCAGAGTGAGAAGAACAATTACTATTCAAGCCGCTTCAGTCCGGATAGCCAGTATATGGATAACAGGAGTGTGAATAGTGCAGGACTTCCAGCACTGCAGAGAGCTCCTAGACTGAACCACCCGCCTGAGCAGATAGACTCTCACCCCCGACTACTACCTCAGAGCACACACCCCTCCGGAAAACCGCCGGCGGCTCCGGCCCCAGCACCGCAAAATGTATTTAGTACAAATGTAAGCAGTGGTTATAACACCAAAAAAATAGGCAAGAGGCTTAATATCCAGCTGAAGAAAGGTATGACCCACCTTGTTTTGTTTTATAGAATTTTATCTTATTTTATTTTATAAGATTTTATTTATTTGAGAGAGGAAGAGCACAGCGGCAGGCAGAGGGAGAAGCAGACTCCCCGCTGAGCAGGGAGCCCGATGCGGGGGCTCCATCACGACCCGAACTGAAGGCAGATGCTTAATCAACTGAGCCACCCAGGCACCCCTATGGAATTTATTTTAAAAATCAAATCAACTATCCCATTATTAGAGGAAAGAACTGATATAACAATGTAAAAATGTATTTAAAATTATAGTTAAGTTTTTCAGATTCATTTTGCTGTATCAGAATTAAAGTATGAAATTCAGAGAAAATAAGGCTTTAAAAATAAGTTTCTGTGAAGAAGGTAGCAGTTACTACTGTGCTAAAACTTTTTGGTAAGGGAGAAAATTGGTTTTAGGATATACTATTAAACCTAAAACAATAGTAAGGACTTGACTGTTCTGATCACCCCACTTGATGTCCAGGCATAACTCTCAAAGAGGACGTTAGAGCTCCTCCACTTTAACCCCATCATTTTGGTAAGGGCAAGTGATTGATTGGAAGCTGTCGTGATTCATGGGAAGAAAGAGTAGGTTCACCGATCAGGTGGCTCCTTGTCTGCTACTTTTCCAGAATATTATACTGCTTTCCTTCCTTAAGATGACAAGGGAAATTCTAATGGACCTTGCTAACTCTTTATTACATACGCCTTATGTCAATTTATTTATTTAAGTGTCCTTTCCATAGACTATGCATCCTTGTATACAGGAAGCATGCTTTTCCATTTTCTTCTTGACGACTCTGGGCAGACTGCTAGGCTTGATTTTCTGATTTCCAAACACTGTCCCCTCCAGGCATTGAGTTACACTTTTGCTGTTAATCATCCATTTTAGCTGAGCATTCAGATATATTTTAAAATCATCTCTTTCAAAATGGTGTCATAAAGAATATTTCTCTTTTTATGAGCTCAACCAACTCCTACAATTAGGTGAAAGTGAATTCAAGAGAGGTTGAGTGATTTCCCCAAGTCATGTGGCTGTTGGCAGCAGATTCTTACGAGAACATTTTCCATATCCTGACATTTAGACCATTCTTTCCATTTGGAGTAGGGTTTACAAGGTTGTAAACTCTGAGATTCCTGTTTCCTTTCTAATCATATTCTTTCATTGAACTTTATGTGAACCACAAACTCCTTATTTCTGGTTACTGATTTTTAAGCTCCAAATACTTGGTTGACATGATCAGGAATTGACAGCTTTACTCCATTTTTGAAACCTCTTACAAATGCCGAATTTTGTTGGCATAAACCCCTTTTACCTTCATTAATTCCTAAATGAGATAAGTATCAGATCCTATCGTCTTCTTTCTCTACTCAAATAACAGGCCCTTGTTTTTAAGCAAAAATACGGTAAGAACCACAAATGGAATTGTAAAAAGAAATAAAATTCTGCTTGGGATCTCTCAACAGAGGAAAAATATTTTACTTGGCCATTCTCATAAAGATATTAGTTCATAAATATCTTTGCCCTTTTACACTAACAGGCATATTTATTTCATTAATTATGTTTTTTTACACAATTATATTTTAACAACTTATGATACAATATGAACTTTTAAATGAAGTGAAATTTTACTTGACATTAAAAGAGGCATTCTTTTGAATACAGAAATTAACAATTTTATTTTAATAGCATTTTAAAAGATGATTACGTTGACAGAGCTAATTGACAAAGACTGCGCTCAATCATCAAGATCAGAAAAATGGAAACAGTGGTTTTCTTTTAAACATTTTTTTGACTTTGAGTATTCTAAATGATATAGAGCTTCATAGCTCTATTTTGATTTTAATTTACTGTGAGAATGTATGACAAAAGGCGGAAACCAACTGTACATTCTGTCAATACTTACAAATATTTTATATGAAAAATAAGTTTATGATAAGTAAGAGTCCAGAATGCTGATTCTCTTTGATTAGTACTGAATAGAGGTATTTTAATAATAATGATTGTATGACAATTGAACAGGCTTTCATTGTAGCTAACTGATAGGATTATTACCAGTTAGGATTGTTACATTTAACATTTTTAATAAAGTACATCAAAAACATAGGGTGTGTCCATGTTAAACTTTAAACTCAGTTCAGAGTGAACTGACATGCTTTGAATGACAGTTCTTTCATAAACTGAGATCAGTTCTATGTGCTAAATGGAGAATCCTTCATGATAATGATTCTTAGGCATAATTTAGGAACCATGTCATATAAACATGACAAAATAGAATAGCCCTTATGTACTTGCTCCTATAATTATGATTTCTTAATATTTATTGCCATTTTGCCATTCTCAGATACCCTGCTCTTTTGTAGAAATTAGCTTTTTAATAAAGTCAGAGGAGAAGGTCAGTAATCTGTTTCAGTCAGTGCAAAATGTTTTGTTGGCTTTGCTAAATGAAAATTGATATCTATTTATCTTTCTTTTAAAGGTCACTGCCTGAACTTTTAGCTTACAGATTTAGGGGTTATTGCTGATATTTTAATAGTATTGCGGTTCATATAACAGTCAGTCTTTGTAGTTCATACAAATTAATATTGCAAAAGGAGAATAATTTAGAATTCTTTCTTAATAAATGTTATTGCAAGTCATTAGAGTTTCATGAAAGCACAGAGACATATGGAAAAGTCCCAGCAGAATAATTAGGAAAATTTCATATAGACAAGATGCCATTCAAGTCTTCAGCACAGAAGACTCAGGAAATTAACAGTCCAGGCACATTAAAGTGACCTCAGGCTTGAAGTAAATGAATGTTTTGTTTGTACTTGAGAATATATAGGGTAGGTTCTGTTACAGGTATAACTATGGGGTGTTTTCTTCATATCAACTTTATGTTTCTTCTTTAACCCGTGTTTTCATTCATAGTTACTTGCCCATATTTATTTACTTACAGATTTGTACTCTTGCTTCTAGTTTTGTACTAAGTGCTGCATCACATTAATGGTATCCTTCCATAGATTTTTCACCTTTATGTAGCTCTTTATTCTTCCGACATGAGCCAAGAATTTGTCCTAGTATCATTTTGACTGAAATGGAACCTAATATCCTAAAAAGTAATTTTTTAAAAAGCTCCAGTAGAAATTAATCATTATTAGAAGTGTTATAAAAATTGTGTGATTCATTAGAAATTTGTTGTAGTCTTGACATTTTTTCTTGGCTCATTTTGGCTTGCTGCATGTCAGTTCTAGTAACATGCAACCCCTTTTCTATACTGTATTGCACTTATGAGTGCCTGTCAAAAGCTGCTGAAGAGCCTGGAATTAAAACTATACAGACCAGCACAGTGATTTGTAAATGCCTCATTAATTTCAGTACCTTTAAACATAATATGATGATCCTTAGACTTGGTAGCTACGATCTGAGATGGGGGTCTTCCCTGGGTAATTTGCCTTTGTTTTTTATTTTTACAATTTTATTTATTGGTTGAGAAATATATATGGTAAGATTTAGGTAAATAGAAGAGAACTAGGAAAATACAATATGGTTCATCCTGTCAGTAAATTGTTTTAATTATAGTGTTGGGAGGGCCTGTTACCTAGAAAAATTTTTCTTTTCACTCTTTCTTCTCCATCTTCCTGATCATTTTCTCTTTCCTTACTCCTCCTCCTACCCTTTAAATCTGGATACCATGATTGCACAATACTAATTGATATTTGAGGTACTATGGTACTATGGGTTTTAACAGAATTTTTTTTCCACATGGAGAAATTAAGTTTATTTCACGTCAAATATTTTGACCAGTTTAGAAACTTTTAGCAGTCATATTTGTATATTACCTTTCGTCTGTCTTGGACTAGATTCCCATTTCTTCTTAAGGAATTTTGATATATAAGCCATTTAAACCTTCCCTAATTTAGTCTGTTTTGGAAAAGCTATTCAGACTTTTAAAGTATTAAAAGCAATGTAGGCCATTGTGAAAATTACAAAATGTCAAGCTGAGGTAGAGAATAACAAAACCTTTCTGTGCCATATACCTCTGAAATTCAAGGTATCTCATTTTATTTACTTTTTTTGTTGTCGTTATGTATTTAGGTACAGAAGGCTTGGGATTCAGCATCACTTCCCGAGATGTAACAATAGGTGGCTCAGCTCCAATTTATGTGAAAAACATCCTCCCAAGAGGGGCTGCCATCCAAGATGGCCGACTTAAGGCAGGAGATAGACTTATAGAGGTGAGTGACTTCTCTAAGTCAGAAGTTCCATAATTCTTAAAAAGTTCCATTTTCAGGGGTCAGTTCTTTTTCATATCTTCATAAATATGCAGTTAAATTTTGTATTTTAGTAGAAGTTTGCATCATAAAGCAGTGTATTTCTGCTTTACTTCAACTTGTTTCCATGTTATTTGATGAGAAATATCTTTTCATTGAGTGTACTCATAAATTTTTAGCTACTCAGACATTTGGTTTATGAGATAACATAACATTTGTCATTATGTAAGTACAGTGTCTGCTAGGTTCTATTTCTAGGTGGCTTTAAATTTATGTCTGGCAATATAGAAATGATATCTACTTTGTAATCAGAACAGAGACAAATGAAGTAAATGAAAACAGTGTGTCTTGATGAGAGGAAATTTTGAAATGGCAGTGTGGAGAATGAATTGAGACATAAAAATCAAATGTCAGAAAAAAATAGTTTTTCAAAATTTCCTTTCTGTACTTCATGAGTTTCGGTTCATTGGTCTTTGAGGCCATCTTAGATATACATAAACATACGTAGACATTCCTGTGTTTGTGATTGCTTGTGTATATAGAAGTAAAAGGAAGAAAGATTGAGAAAAATAGATCAGTCGCTTTTCTTAGTGTTTTCTTCAGAAAACATGTCTGTATTCTTAGCCACAGATACCACCATCCCTAATTATTAACTACTGTTCAGACACTAATGTTAAACTACATTTTGTGGCATTACCCTTTCTTCTTTACTTGTAGCTTCATATGTAGTTTCGAATTCTCCAGATCAAACTCTCCTAAAGATTTCTTGAAAAGTAATGGAGCAAAGGATTGCCTTCCAGGAAAAGGATTTTTCCATGGCTACATACGGTGCCTAGATTTCTTAAATCTTGTTCCTTTCCTTTGTGTCTTATTCTTGTGACACCATTTTTTAAAGGGGCACCGGTAGAGGCTAAGTAGAAGAAAAGGTTCGAGTATAAATTATATTTAGAGTGTTGTTTCCAGAAAGGGCCACTTGTCCTTGGTGCATAAATTGAGTAGTATTGGTCCAAGTTTGCGGTTATAGCTTGTTTTATGTAGTAGGAGGCTCAGCTGGGACTTGAATTTATCATCTTTGCCCCTGAGTCCAAAACATGTCTGTCCTCCTGTCTCTGGCATCAGCCTCACCTTCTTCCTTTCTTTTTGAGTCTCTTTCCTCCCATAATACTTTGCTTTCAGCACATCACAAAGGCTTTTGTTTTTCTTTTTGAGCAGTGGGGAAGAGCCTGAAACCTCTGTCTCTTCAGAGTTAGGCTCTATTTTCTGTAGCTATCAGCTTTACTTGAAACTGCATTTTCACAAGTCTTAAACCTAACTTTCTAGTATCTGCAGTTGCATCTACCCAGTGTCAACAGTTTTGTGGGTGGTTTTTCTGAGCATGTGGGTATTTGGAAGCATACTTAAAGTATCAAGTCACTCTTTTGTTTTTTAATCTAGAAATTTTTCCTTCTTTGAACCTGTTACTACTTATCTATTTTGTGCAATCACTTAAATAGTAGTACACTGAGCAGTAGAAGATGGTTTTTAGTGGAGAGGGAAATGTTCCAAAAGGTATTTTAACTACAGGGTAATTTTGATATTACAATTTAAATAATATACTTTATTGTCATGGACAAAATGTTATTTTTCTCTAAAGTGAATACTGTCAAATAGTTTATAAAATAAATTTTCACTCTTATTTCTTTTAAATATATAGTGCTTTCTGGTAATGTTATTATACTTCCTAAAGGTAAAAATAATGAGATTCCCCAGAAATTGGTTATTTCAAATCTCTTTCTCTCTCACTTTTTTTTTTGTAAGATTCTCTTAAAACATTGAAAAATATCAAGGTATTGCTACCTCAAAATATTGCTACCCCTCTGTAAATATAATTATTATTTTGTATTCTTTAATGTTTGTCTCTTAGGGATAAAAAGTTATCTTCATAAGTTTCAGTAAAATTTCACTGAAAGTTTTACCAAAATATTTTTAGTGTGTTTTTACTCCCACAATTTTTACTCCCAAGTAAAGTGTGTTTTTACTCCCAAGTTTTGTGTTAACCTGATAATTTGGATATATTTGTTTATTAGTTGTTACTTGTTAATGCTCTGGTGGCTGTGGCTTTTGGCTTATTAATGAGTGCTAAAAGATTTACTACTTCCTGTCCTACTTCTAGATACCTAGGCTGTGTTTCTTTATTAGCTACCAAATCATGGGAGAATCCACAAAATGAGCTGTGCTCCATAGGAGACATGATACATTCTAGGATGTGTGTCTTTTCTTCAGTCATATGTTTGCACAGCACTGCAGCTGAAAACTTTTTATTTGTTTTAGGTAAATGGAGTAGATTTAGCAGGCAAATCCCAGGAGGAAGTTGTTTCCCTGTTGAGAAGCACCAAGATGGAAGGGACCGTGAGCCTTCTGGTCTTTCGCCAAGAAGATGCCTTCCACCCAAGGGAACTGGTGTGTAAATTTAGAGCAGATGAAAGATTTCTGATGCACACGAGCCAGGGATCTGGGCTAGTCACCTGATGGCCAGTGTTTACCGAGACATTTCCAAACAGTTTCTATATTTTATATTTCTTTCAGCCTTAGCTTCGCATAAACATTCTTTTCTTATATTTGCTCAGTTTTGAAGATAGATCTCCACAATATTGAGTGTAGGGGTATTTAAAAATCAGATTGCAAGGATATTTTCTAGGACAGCAAATGCTTATGAGGGAACACTTTCAGATGGACTGATTGAATACAGAGACGTTGATTACTTCATAACTGTCACTTCAAAGGCTGTTGTTGAAAACTTGCCATCTCCTCCACTACATATGACAAATGTTCATATTTCAGATTTTCATAGTGCATCCAGCTAAGCCAAGTAAAGCTTCTTGCTTCCTGTTGTATGAAAAGGAGTACCTTAACTGAGTATTACTGTTGAAAGTAAGGAGACCTGAGTGGTACTAAGCCCCATGGCCATTAATTACCAATACTGACATTACTTGGGATGACATAGATGAAATCAAAAGGCATTTGTTTGCACTTCATTTCATTTTTTAAATGTGTATCAATATGTCTAAATATAAGATGTATTTACATAGTATTGGTGTGAATGAAATATGTATACTAAGTTGACATAGTTTGAATGTTTTTCTGCAACAAGTGCCAGGTTTCATTTACTATATAAAAACAACATAATGGGAGGAATCACTTTTATCTTTTAAATGTGGTAAGAAAATTGTTTTATTTCCAGCATAAGTGGTATTTTAAATGTTTCAAAACAGATTTTAGTTGGGCCATTTTAGAGCATGTGACATCTCTTTCAGTCAGTTTTTAGCTTTAAGCAACAATTAATTCATATATACTGGAATGCAAGGTTTTAGGGGCACAGTTCCCAAATTTGTCCTATAGCCCTAAATCTCTTAGGCTAGTATTTCAAGTGCGGATGTGTCATGGTTAGTAAAATTTTCCTTTTATTATGAGCCAGATATGTTTCAGTGTAGGAATACCCCATCCCCTGGTTACACAAATTTACTGTGATTTCATGGAATTTCCAATTGTGATAGGGCTGTAAGCTGAATGCTTGTGTTTTAAGTAAATTTTGAAAGTTATAAAAACATCTTTATTTCTATTTTGAAATGTTGAATGCGTTATTTCCCAATTTAAATTCGGTTTTCCATTTTCCCCCCACTGTTATCCAATTTTGTGCTTAAAATGCCACCTGATCCTAAATCTGGAGATGTCTCTATTAAATTGTAAATGAGCCCTTAAAAAAAAAATACTAAGCTTTAGATGGAATTTGATGAAGCTTTAATTCTTCGTCAGTATATCTTAGCCTGGGTACTAGTTAGCATTATCAGATTGCCAAAGCTTAAACACTGTTCTTCAGCAGCCCTTCCCAGACTCATTGCCAACATCTAGCCAGCTTAAGGTTATTCAGGTTCTTCTTGTCCAATTTTGATCTTCCAGGCTTCTGTTTTCCCCTTCTGCTGCCTAGTTTTTTTCCTTGGTTATTTAATTTATTGCTTGTGAGCTTTTCATTAAGGAGTGAGCCAGTAGGCCGTCAGTCTATTATTCATGTTGCAGCTGCTTTTTAAGATTCCAAAGAATAAAATTCTGAAACTTAAAGGGGAGGGGGTGCATTTAAAATGATCTTTGAATCCAATTAACAAAACTCTTTTCCTCTGGCTGTCTGTGTTTAAATTCTGTGTCTAAAATAAAATACTGTTATCAATATGTGCCTTTTTTATAAATCAACCTTTTAAATATCTATGTAATTAAAACAACTCTATAATATGTGAAAAAAATCACATTTATAATCTGTGTAATATTTTAAAGTATAATACTTGTGGTTCAGACTGTGGTTCAGACTGTTATTATCTGGTGTAGCTATCAAATTACAATATACCTTAGATGTAGTTGGGGAAATTAAAAAAACCAAAACAGTGCCATGAATAGAGAGCCAGTCTGGTGAGATTTGTTTTCCTCCAAATCATAAAGTCATGATATAATGTGAGTGAGCAAGTAAAAATTTACATCAGAAAAATTTCTTAAAACACACACACAAGATAATATAACCACATCAGTGCAAGTTTGGAAGACAGTCATACATCATCCATAATATAATCACCCTCTGTATATTTCGTGGGTTTTAAGAACCAACAAAATTTCCTTTAAAGTCAAGCTTTGTGTCCCTGTGTGTTGAAGATGGCTTTGGTCAGTCTGTATTTATATTTTTCTTCAATTCTTCTAGAATGCAGAGCCAAGCCAGATGCAGATTCCAAAAGAAACGGTAAGAGCTTTGTCTTTTGCAGGGTGCAGAGATGTTGGAAAGATAAATGGAACTAACTTCTGACTAATTATATATGAAGTTACTTGTCCTCCCTTTTCCTGGCTCATAATAGATACTATGTAGGTTCATTAAATTCCACAGTGGTCTCATCTTAAACTGACTTTGCTACTACTGCAGATGGGGAATATTTCCTGATTACTTTTGGATAGACAAGGATAGAACAGAGACAGACGTTAGAGTAGTTTCCTGTCACCTTCAGAGTAAGAGGGACCAAAAGTTGGTAAGTGTAGTAGTTTGATATAAATATAAAAGACTTTGTGAGTTGTGAAATGTTACATTTTAAGTGGCTACAAAGGGAAAAAAAAGGTAAAAAAAAAAAACTTGATTCAGGCACAGGAAAATAAAAAAAATAAAAGCACAATAAAAGTGTATCATATGCAGGAAAAATAAAGTGATAGGTCAGTAACTAGGCACAACATACTAGTGCAAACCTAGTTGTGTCCTGAGACAAATCCTAATACAGACTAGAAATAAAGGAGTAAGTTGAGTTCTAACAGGCAGTGCTAATGTAATGAAAATAAGAATTGCCGTATCAGCGTATCAGTCTTTGAAAGTATGGTTTTAGTGTGGAGGTACAGTGTAGGGTGAAAAGAGAAGGTGTTTTATATTGACATGTAATATCCAATAGAAATTCTAATAGTCATGATCCTTTATACACCAACAACAAGGCATAAAAACATATCCCAAACTCTTATAAGCAGTGAGAAAATTTACCAAAACCATATCTACAGTGGGTGAAAAAATTGTCATATTAGGTAGACAAAAAATTAGACCATGAAGTATTTGAATAACATATTTAACAGGTTTGATTTCTCTTTACACATTCATGAACAGACAGCTTTGAACCTAATAAACAAAATGTTATTTAAAAATATTCCATAATTAAAAACATGGGTGACAAATCAGACCTCAGGAAAATTGGTAAACAGTCTTGAGAATATTATTACACATTCATAAGTATGGGTTGTAGAAAATTTATGGTCTTAATTTTTATTCATAAAATCAATTGGTCAGTGATAACTAATGAAAATCAAAATGGTATCTGTGTATGTGTATGGTGGGTAGGTTGAAAGGGAAGAGGAAATTAGATTGATTTTTAAAGAATTTAAACTGGGCGCAAGTGTGATTCATAAAAAGCCAAAATACTTAAAATAGCATGATATTGTTATGGGAATAGACGAAGAGAGTGCTTGAACACATTAGCAATGATAGACCTGATGTATATATGCATATACATATATATGTATGTATAAGGCAGCATTTCCAAATAGTTGTAAAAGATTGTTTATTTCATATTTAAAATAATTCACCATTCAGTTTAAAAAGTTAGATTTTTTTTTTCTCACCATACACCAAAATAAATCCCAATTGGTTTATGAAATTACACCTTAAAAAGTACTAAAATGTTTAAGAAAAAATTATGCAAAAAACAACATAAACAAAAATATAAAAAAATATACGTGAAAAATCTGTTAACTTTGGATAGTGAATGTTTGTCCAAGCATGGCAAAACCCAAATGTTCATTAGATAAATAGATTTAGATTTGTCTGTAGAAAACTTTTGTATAGCAATAACCATACCATGAAATAGTGATAAATGCTAAATAAAATAAATGCTAAATATTTTGCACTGTGACCCTTGGTGAATAACTACCCCTTTATTGTTGGGATCTCATCATAGAGCTTTTAGGAAAACGGAATGATTTCACAAATAAAGTACGGTTGACACTGAATGAGGGTTCGAACTGCATGGATCCACCTATATGTGGATTTTTTTTTTTTAATAAAATACAGTACCATATTGTAAATGTATTTTCTCTTTTTTAATAACGTTTTCTTTTCTCTAGCTTACTTTATGGTAAGAATACAGCATATAATACATATGACATAGAAAATATGTGTTAAACAACTGTTTATGTTATCGGTAAGGCTGTTAGTAAAGTTTATAGGGAGTCAAAAGTTTTATGAGGATTTTCTACTGTGTGAGGGGACAGTGCCCATAATCAGCACCTGTTGAAGTACAGGACAGCGTGAGATAGAAAATCATGCTATAAGCTGTAAAGATAGGCATGTTCTTTCAAAACATTTAGGCAGTCCTGGTGAGGAAATTGATGATTAGCCCTGACGTTTTCAGTCACTGAAGGGAAGATGTGGCGTTGGTTTTAAATGCCATATTCCACTGAGAATTCCAAGGTCCATTTCAGTTCACTGCTTACCCAGTAGCCTCCTGTGTTCATGAGAAAATTTGCCCAGCAAATGACAATTCAGTCACCTTAACAAAAGAAGAAATATACACATGTATGTGTGTCTGATGTCTGATTACAAATGGAAATTTTTTTTCTGATGAGAGTTTTTCTAAGCTCAGTCAGAAATCACTGTTTTTTTCTAAATATTTTCTTTTTGGTTTCTTTGTTGTTGTTGTTGACTTGTTTTTAATATATCCTCTCACATCTGTGCCTCTGTTTCTGCTCTTGCTCAATATATAAGAGAATACCATTTTGGGTTGTTAAAGGCTTCATGTTACATTTGAAACTACAAAAAAAAAAAAAAATGACTTCCCGGGTCGCTGCCTGTCTTTGTACCTTTTGAGGGCAAGTCATTAAATTCATTTAAGTCTTGAAATTCTCTGATATTATTTAAACTTTTAGGTAATTGTAAGCACCTTGAGAATAGACATGTCATAAAAGTCAATTAATTTGTTTGTTGGTTATTACAATGACCCATACTGATTTAGTCTGAGAAATTGAAAACATGTCATTAAGGTATATGAATAAGTTCAATGACTAGTAGACCTTTGCATTTATGAGATGGAAGTTTCCTGTACATCTTCTAAGTATCATCTTAATTAATGAGAGTGGGAGATTGTAGCTGGGGCACAAGGGTGCCAGAGCACCTAGCTCTTGGGGTCCAGGCAGACCAGTTTCAGCTACTTGCTGCTGACAGGATCCAGAGGCAGAGAGATGAATGGTAGGGAAACAAGAAAAGAATTTGTTTCAGTGAGGCCAACACTGGGAAGACAGTGGACTAATAATCTCAAAGACTGTCTCCAAAGTGCTGAAAATACTTCCAGGTTTATATAAGGAGAATGTGGAGCAAAGGTTGGTACATACATATATTGCCAGGTGAACCCGGGAGACGTGGGCCCTGAGGCTTCAACCCAGCCTGTCCCAAAGATGTCACCCAAGTCTTTTGGTCTTGTTATGAGAAAGAATTACAGGACAGACACAACACAGATTAGAGACAGAGGCTGGAATGTTTATTAAAGTGAGAGTACACTCTCCAGATGTGAGAAGGCCAGTGAGTGAGCTGATTATCCTGGGGGTTGGGTTTCTATCTTTTATTGACAGTTGTGGAATATTCACTACTTGGGTGGGGATTTCTTGGAATCTGGTTTTGAGCCTTTTCTTCCTTATTTGGGCAGGGGTTTCCAGCCTACTTTGTCAGCCATATTGGGCCTGTCTGGTTTGACCTAGGTTCTTGTGGTTTTGTTCTGGAGTGTTGCCAGGACAGGCCTCTGACTTTGTCAATAGCTGGCCATGACTGACTTTTTCTTGGCCTCCAGGCCTCCTGTTAGAACCTAACTGAATGTTTCTAACACATACAGGTGGGCAGTGAATGTCAGGTTGATCATTGTCTTGGGGTCAGTCACACTTGGGTCTTCCTGGCTCAGGGCAGTCCTTATTGCCCCCCAGGGGGGGTTAGTTTTGTCTCCCATTAGGTAATGCTTTGCTGGCAGGGTCTTTTGCCTGAGTTAAGAGTTAAACTGAAAAGAAGAACTTAATCCATTAGAAAGTACAGATTGAGGTCAAAATGGAAATAGTTGAAGTCCTCTTTCAAAATTAGAAAATCTGGTTGCAAATTACCCATTCAAAATTGGCCAGAAAGCCTAATTATTTAGCATAGGCTCACCACCACTTGCTCTATGTCTTTGAGAAGTTTATTCCCTTAATATAAGGCGTCTCATGTGGATGTCCTGGTAGGACAAGATAATACATCAGGGTTCTCCAGAGAAACAGAACTCATAGGATATGTGTATACATAGGAAGAGATTTAGTGTAATAGTTTGGCTCGTGTGATTGTTGAGGCCACCAAATCCACATCTGCAGTGTGGGTCAGCATGCTGCAGACCCCGGAGAGCCAGTGTTGCAGATTCAGTCTCAAGTCAGTTGGCTGGAGAATCTCCTCTTCCTCAAGGAGACTATCTTTCTGTTCTGTTTGGCCTTTAACTGATTGAATGAGGCCTACACACATTGTTGAGGGCAATCTGTTTTATTCAGAGTTCATCAATTTATATGAATCTCATTCAGAAACACCCTGTGAGTTGATATATAAAATTAACATCACAGTGAGGTGTAGTGCATTTACCTCTGGCTATAAGGCCTTGACTTACCAAAGTGCCAGTTTCTTCCTTGGCTTCAAATAGGACTAATGCAAACCTGGTTAGGAAGCTCCCCAAAGAGCTATTGAGTAGGATCCATGTCAAAATATAATTTTATGTTAAACACATTCAGGGCTATGAGATAAAAGTAGGCCTTTAGAAAATAATATGGTTTAGAGATGATATTAGAGCACAGAGGTAAGATATGCTTAAATGTCATGAATTCAAAATGCATTCCGAAAAGAGTTAGTGGATTCTCCCTCTGGAAAATGCAGGGATACAGTGGGGAGTCTTTGAGAACCTCCTGGAAGAGCTGGAGGCATCTTGATAGGCTAACTTCAGAAGATTTAGTCTTGATTTAGAGATTTAATGAGGTAGGTAATAAGCATTGTCATTAAGAGGTTCATTTAACTAATGGTTATAGGAGATCAAGTAAATGCTACCATAATGACCCCACTGTAAAATGAGAAAACTATAGAAGAAATTAAAAGAACAATCCCATTTGCAGTAGCATCAAAAAGAATAAAATACCTAGGAATAAAGTGAACCAGGGAGGTGAAAG